CCACCCCCACACCCCCACACCCACACCCGCCACCGGCCCATGCCCCGCCCGCACCTTGTCCACGTATGTGCCGACCTCCGCGTCGCGGCCGCGCCCCGTGATCCCCAGGTCGTCCGTCCCCGCAATCTCCTTGGCGAAGCGGATGCAGCGGGTGCAGTGGATGCAGCGCGTCATCACCGTCTTCACCAGCGGCCCCAGGTTCTTGTCGCTCACCGCACGCTTCACCTCGGTGAACCGGCTGCGGTCGCTGCCAAACACCATGGACTGCGGCGGGCGCGGCGCGGCGCGGCGCGGCGAGGCGCCGTCGGCAACAGACGCATCAGGTGGGCTGGCCGGCGTGCTGTCCCGCTGCACGGCTGCGCTGCTGCCATCCACACCTCAGCATCCAGGCTGGCCACACGCCCACCCACGCACGCACCTGGTCCTGCAGATCGCACTCGCCGCCCTGGTCGCAGATGGGGCAGTCGAGCGGGTGGTTGATGAGCAGGAACTCCATCACCCCCTCCCGCGCCTTCTTCACCAGCGCCGTGTCGGTCTTGATGTTCATGCCGGGGGCCGCTGGCATCGCGCACGACGCCACCGGCTTGGGGCTCTTCTCCACCTGCCCGGCAGGGACAGCGAGCGGCGGCGGCGGCAGGGGCGCCTCAGCAAGCAGTGTGCTGCTGCCGCGGCTGGCTGAGTCCACGCCACCACACAAGGGCGCCACAAGCACATTGTTGAAGGGACACGATCGCTGCACCAACGCAGCTGTGCTACAGGGCGCAAGAGGGAGAGGCAGCGGCGGCCGCCGGCCGCACCTCCACCAAGCACATCCTGCAGTTGCCCGCGATGGACAGGCGCTGGTGGTAGCAGAACCTGCAGTCACCCAGGGCATTGTGCGGCAGGCCGGTGAAGCAGAGCTCACGAGGGAGGCGGGTGAGGGTCGCCTGCCCCGCGGCAAACCCTCGCTCCCCAGACTCTGGGGCGTTCATGATCGGTGCATCAGCATCAGGTCCGGCCCGGTCAGGGGCCCCGGCGGCCTGCGCACCTCGGAATGTCCACGCCCGCTGCGTCGCAAGCTTGAAGGACGTTGCTGCCCTTCGCCACCTTTGTGGGCTTGCCGTCAACAGTGACCTCGATCAAATCCTCGGCCGGCGCCGGCTGAACGGCCATCCCTCTGGCTTGCAGCCAGGGCCGCAGCCCACGCGCCGCAGCGCTCAGGCTGCGCCGCTGCATGGTGGCGCCCGGGTGCAAGAGCGCCAACGCAGACAGCGGGGGAGGGGACGATCGTTGGATGTGCATAGCTGGCGCCGCCCATGCGGGCGCTCGGCCCTTTGGATCACTGGCAGCTGGTTGTATGCGTCACCGCCTTGGCAGTGGTCCACTCTATACAGGAGTGCTGGGAAGCTGTATGCCATGAACAACGGAATGCCCCAAATGAAGGGGGGTGCCAGCAGCAGGTGCCGCCAGCGCCCGCCGCTCACGGCAGGAAGGGGTCCTGCTCCTGCTTCGCCGCCGGGCTCTCCATCACCCGCATAGTCGCAGGCAGCTCGCCCTCCCTCACAATCTCAAACTCCATGCGCCGCCGCCGCTCCTCTGCACGGAGGCAGCCGCAGGCCCAGGGCATTTGAACGTGTGGAACACGCACGCGCGCGGAGCGCATCGCATGGCGCTTTCAAGCCGCGCGCTCGCTGGCAGGCTGCCACTTCCTGGACCCCCCAGCCAGCCTCCCGCCCCCCCTTCTACTCAGCCCCTGCTCACCCGCGTCGGTCTTGACCCGCTGGTTGATGGCTGCCAGCACTCGGTAGCAGACCTCCATGGCGGGGGCGCCGATGTCGGCGTCCGGCCCGCTGCCCTCCAGCGACACAGCCAGGTCGGCAAACTGGTACACGCTGCGCCGCTCCTCCAGCAGCGCCGACAGCCGCGCCACCGCCGCCGCGTACGCATCCCTCGACTGCTCGATGGCCTGCTCGCCATCAGACTGCGGGGGCGCGGCACCCAGGCAGCGCTGCGGGTTGGCCTGTGGGTGCCGGCAGGCGCCGGGCGGCAGATGGCCCATGCCAGGAGTGGCGACCTCACCACCACCCCTTCATGCATGCTGAGAGGTGCGCAGGCGCTGCAGGGATCCAGCCGCCACCCATCGCCACATGCCGCCCCAGCCCTGGGGCCAGGGGCCGCACCTGCGACAGCAGCGGCCGCGACTCGGTGCCGTCGCCCACCACGCGGTGGGCCAGCAGGGTGGGGGGGCCGTTGAGCCACACGCTGACGCCGCCCTGCATGTGGCCCCAGTTCTCGGCCTTGGTGGGCACGCCGCCGCCGGTGGCCACCACGCAGTTCTTGAAGGGGGAGAGCTCCTGCGCGGGCAGCAAGCGGGAGAGTGCAGGCGCTTGCCAGCGGCCCACGCCTGAATGTGGGCGGCACAGCCTGCGCTGGCGCAGCCCTCGGCCAGGCATGCCTCACCTCCACCCCACCAGCGCTCACCGCCAGCACTTGCGTCTCCAGCTCCCGGAACGACTCCTCCCCATCCTCGGCAAAGATCTCAGACACCTTCTTCTGGCTCAGCTGCTCAATCAGCGTGTCTGCGTCATGGCGGCGGGCAGGCAGACGGTGGGGTGGGGAGTCAGTCTGGCTGTGGTAAAAGTGTGTGCGCAAGCCAGCAAGGTCGATCCAGAGCTCACCACATCAGAGGCCAGCAGCCGGCTGGCAAACAGCTACCAGCAGGCTGCCGCGCACCTGTGTCGAAGAAGCAGTAGCCCAGGGCCTGGCTGATCAGCTTGCCCACGGTGGACTTGCCGCTGCAGCAGCAGGGTGTGGAGGGGCACGATGTGGACCAAGCAAGCACATACGCCCCCAAGCAGCATTGAGCAAAACTTCTGACTATAGCTGCCTTAGCAGGCTGCCCCTCCCACCTGCCCATCATGCCGACCAGGAACAGGCTGGTGCCCTGCAGGCCCTCTACCACCTCAGCTGCAGTGTCCTGCAGGTCCAAAGCACCGCCACGGACTGAGCGCGGTTCCAGGAATGGCCCAGCCGGTTGCATCTTCGGCCTGCATGCATGCTTGCTGGCTTGCTTTGCCCGGTGGCCCCAGTCCCGCCTACCTCAATCTGCTGCGTCAGCGAGGCATAGTCCTTATTGGCGGCATCAAACCGGCCCTTGTCAAAGTCGCGGGGCGCCGCGCGAGCAGAAACCGCTCGCTGCCGCTGCCGCCAGCTGCCGCCGCTAGCCTGCTGCGCTAGTTGGCGGCGCGGTTGCGTGGCATGCTGCCTGCCCTGCTGGCTGGCCGGGCTGCACACGGGGACAGCGTGTAGGGGCTGCCGAGCCAGGCGGGGGCGCTGGCATGTTGCCGTCGGAGGGCGCTGGGCTGCTGCAGGTGTGGTCTGCATGGCTGCCGAATGCGTCCTAGCAGGCGTGATACGTCAATGCGGTCATGTAGAGCGCACCGCAAGCAATTGCGGCAGAGTACCACGGCACACGGTTGCAGGACGTCCAATCGATGCAGAGTAGCCACACAATTGCATGCGGTGGGAAGCGGTGGCAATCGGCATTATGAGGCCGGCGCAAGCCAACTGTACGCCGCCACGTACTTCGGCGGCCAAGCGATGCCTAATCAACGGCGTTCAATGGTGTTGGCCATCCATACACATGCACGGACTGTCACCGTAGCTTCTGGCCTCCCTGCCAGCCGACCGACTGATCACCATGTCCCGCCTGCCCCTCCTTGTAGCAGCAGCCGCTGGAGCAGGGGTGTGTTACGCATTGCAGCAGCTGATACAGATCACGAGAGTGCGGCTGTCCAAGCAGGGGCCCGGTGGCGGCGGCAGCGCGGGGGCGGGGGCCGGAGCCAAGGCAGGCGCAGGCGCAGGAAAAGATGGCAGCAGCGGCAAGAGCAGCCTTTGGCAGCCCGCTCCCCACCCGGATTGGAAGCCGCCGCAGAAGCAGCCAGCCCCATTCGGCACGGATGAGATGCACACGGTGGACCCGGCGCAGCTGCCAGCCGACGTGATGTACCCGCTGGCGATCTCGGCGGTGGTTCCCCGGCCCATTGGTGCGTGCCTGCCCCCCCGAGCCCCCGCCAGCATGCGTCATTTCTGGATCCATTTGGCTGCTAGTGCCGCATTTACCATTCCCGCTGGTCAGCTGTCAGCATCCAGGCTGGCCCCCTCCCGCACACATGCTGCCTGTGTGTGCGCAGGCTTTGTGTCCACCCAGAGCGGCGCAGGGGTGGGCAACCTGGCTCCCTACTCATACTTCAACGTCATGGCGCACAACCCGCCCACAGTGGCCATCGGCTGCTCCACCAGCCGGCTGCGCAGCCACGGCAAGAAGGACACGCTGGTCAACATTCTGGAGACGGGGTGGGCGAGCATTGTTGGTGGGGGTGTGGGCCGGGGGCTGTATGGTGTGAGGGAGGGGGGCTGCAGGGCCGGGTGTGGGGCTGCCCCCGACCGGCCACAAAAGCGGGCCCCCTGCTCAGCTGCCGTCTGTGTTGGCGGGCTCCACCACCCCAACCACCATCCCCTGCCAACCTGCCAGCCCGCCCTCTGCGTGCAGCCAGTTTGTGGTCAACATCATGAGCGAGTGGTTTGTGGAGGCAGCCAACCACTGCTGCGGCAACTTTGACTACGGAGAGGACGAGATGGTGCTCAGCGGGCTGACGGCGCTGCCCTCAGTCAAGGCGCGGGAAGCACACTGCGCTGCCTGCCGGCTGCTTGCTCATGTCTGCCTGCCATGGTGCCTAGCCCTACCTAACCTGGCCCCTCACGCCTCGCGCCTGCTATGCTCTGCAGGTGCGGCCGCCGCGGGTCAAGGAGTCTGCTGTGCAGATGGAGTGTGAGCTGCGGCACACTCACGAGGTCAAGGATGCCGGCGGCAAGGTCACCTGCGTGGTTGTGATTGGGGAGGTAGTGCTGATGCATGTGCACGACGGCGTGGCAGGTGCGGGTGCGGCGCCACCGTGCGCAGGGCGGAGGACCGCAATGTTGTGAAGCCGATAGGCTCTTCCCTGCGCTCTGCTGCCACATGCATGCCCGCCGACTGCCGGCCAACTGCTGCTGCCCCCCTTGTGCCCCCGCCTTGCCTTGTCAGGCAAGTCGCCCAGCGGCAAGCTGGTGGTGGATATCGAGAAGTACCGCCCCATCTCCCGCCTGGGAGGCAACACCTACGCCCGTGTGGCGGGGCTGTTTGACCTGCCGCGCCCCGACCGGGGCCCACCACCGGCACAGCAGCAGCTGATCTACACCAGCTCCCCTGCCTGAGGCGGCTGGCCCTGGCTGGTGCAGACCCCCCCAATAATTGTATATCGAGGCGGTCAGTTGTCACAACCGTATGTACATATCTGAAATTGTTGTTATGTTTATCCCAACAGTTTGTTGGGCAGGAGGGGTGCAGTTGATGGATGGGGCTAATGGAGTATCCATACCGAGTCTGGTGGCAAGCAAGAATCAGCTCCTCACGCAGCAGCAGGACACAAGCAGAGCACAAAGAAAAGCAGAAATAGCTAGCAGAATAAGCAAGCAAAAAGCAAGCAGAAAAAGTAAAAACAGTGCTGAATGACAGCTAGCGGGAGCCAGGCTCACTGCCGCCAGGAAAGGACTCAAGGGCATGCTCGTCCCCCTTCAAGTAATAATCGATGATGGCCCTGATTCTCTCTGGCTTGTCTGGATGGTAATTGGAGTGCTGCAAAATAGGGGGAGGCCAAGGCAGCACGTAAGGCATGGCAGCGCAATACCACATTTTGCAACCCACACCACGCAGCTAGCCCTGTCCCCACAGACTCGAAGCCACTCCAGTGACAACGACACTCACCACCTAAGGCATCACGAGGAAGGGTAGGGGAAGGGAGCAATGCGTGGGGAGCAGTGACAGCAGAGAAAACCAATTAGCTACGGTACATGCACTGCAAATGACATCTGTTGGCGCCCGCGGGTCCCCAGTGCCGATTATGCAGACAGCAGTGCCTGAGCCATCACATCCCCAGACAGCCGGCCACAGCACTGGCAGCGCCACTCACCATCACCGGCTTGGGCTGCTGGTCCTTTGGCATGTGCCGGACCTGCTTGAACAGCACCTTGGTGTTCATGAACTGCGGCGCAAGCTCGAAGAAAATGTTGGCGCGCCAAAAATGGAGCTACCAGCAGATGCTTGCCACCCTGCGGCTTCATCACCCCACCTTTGTGTAGTCCATCACTCGTGCAATGACCTGCAGCAGGCACACAAGCAAAGGGAGCAGCTCCAGAACTTGGCAAAACAGATGCACAACAACCTAAACAGGTCTGCAACTGCTGCTTCGAGCTGCTTCAAGCAAGTTCTGAAAACAATAATGACCCGCACCTGCGGCGACTTGTAGTCCCCGTGCGACAAGAAGAAGATAAACTCATTCCATACACTCTGGTCCCAGTCTGACTCCTTGGCCAGCCGATCTGCAGGTGAAAGAATAATAAGTACATGAGCAAAGCAACCAGAATTAGAGCCATCAGTGCTGTAAGCTGGCCTTACCTGCGATGCGCGTCAGCAGGTCGATTGTCTTGTCGTTGGCCCTGATGAAGAAGAGGCCCGAGTTGAAGGCCATGTGGCGCGTGCCCTGCGCGTAGCGGCTCCACCCCTGCGCCACACCAGGAGCAGCTCACGGCGGGAGCCAGCTCAACAAAGCAGGGCGGAGCAGCACACGCGGCCGCAAGCAGCAGCGGTAGAGGAATTCAAGGCCAGGCACCCATGCTGCCGCTGCCGCACCATGGTGGCGTCATCGATGCCGTAGATCTCGCCATAGGCTGTGGGCGGGTCAAACCCATCTGTCATTCCCTCCACGTCGCTGTCGCGGTACAGGTGGTCAAAGGGGTTCTGCAGCGTCGCAATATCCACGTCGCTGCACGGCGCGAGGGCGGGGGTGCAGGGCACCCGTTTGGGTTGGTGGTCCGACAATGAGATGGAGGCAAGTTTGCACTCATGCTTAGCCCCTCAACTTGACCCAGCCCCCTCACCTCAGCAGCACGTCCCAGCCCAGTTGCAGGAACTCGCGGATGATTTCGTACTTCATGGCAGAGATGGCGTGGTTGCTGCCCGTGTCCTTCTGGGAGTCGGGGATCACCACAGGGCGGTAGTAGTGGTTGATGCCCTTCTCCTTGCAGTAGGCTGCCAGCCGCTCGTCAATGGCCACAATCAGCCAGTTGGTCAGGCCCTCGATGCGCTGGACGCACTGCTCCAAGGGAGGGCAGACAATGCAAGGGCTTGCAGTGAAGCCTCTGCTTCACAGAGGCTGAGACCAGTGCCACTGGTCTCAGCAGGAGATTGCAGTGAACAAGCTTGCAGTCCAATGTTTTGGCTTGATGCCGCATGAAGCACAGGAGCGGCTCAGCGGTGCCCCCTACCTCCAGCCACATCAGGAGCTCTCTGTCCTCGACCAGGTCATAGTTGCTGATGGCGATCATCACCTCACCCTGCGGCGCCACACGCTGCAGGATTTCCTCCAGCTCGTTGCGCGGCTTGCCAGTCGACCGCCGAACTGCTGGTGTGCTGCCGCCCGACACCTCCAGCTTGCGGGAGCGCACTGCCGCCACTGCGCCCTCGGGCATGTCCGCCTCTTGGGCTATCAGATAGAGCTTCTCGCTGACGATGACGCCGAGGCACATGCCCACAAGCAGAGCGCCAGTGAGGAGGGCCGAGCGGGCCTGCACGTTCGGCACCTTGCGCTTTCCGCTGGCATCATCGAGATCCGTGATCACCATCATTTCAAATTGCGCAGGGAGGCGACAAGCGCTAGTCCATGACCTGCGGGCCCCACTCTGCTCAAGAGCGTCGAGGCGACCTTATTCAGCTACTACAATGCTAATTGTGTAAGAAGAAGACACACGTCGCTACTGCTTGCCTGTAAAAACTAAGGCTAAGAGAGAATCATGTTGGACTTGAATTGGAAATTTTAAAGAAGTCGGTCGATTTTTTTTATTTTTGTTTTTTTCGATCGAAACCTGTATTGATCGGAGCTCGGCGCACGCCTTAGATTACAGGTGGCGGTGATGTCAGCGGCGGTTGCAAACACGGCCTATCTCAACCTGCTCACAGTGGTTGTCCAGGATTTCAACTATATCACTTAAGAGAATCCCCTTTCCTGTAAGCAGATTGTTTATTGTTACATGATTACAAGTGGGGCAAGCGGATCATGCTGAGCGGTGCGGAGACCATTCACAGGTTCACAGAAGCGACCTACGGAGGATGTCAAGCCCAATTTCCGAAACAAACAATGACAGTGACAGCTACAACTCTGCAGTTATTCTTCTTGTGAACACCGCTGCCGTCTACAACCCTGCCGAAGCAGAAAGGACCTGTTCTCAAACAGCCTTGCCCAATCAACCTATGTCATGCAGCCGCCCAGACATACTTGTCCAACATTTACAACGGAACCTCTGCATCTGCCATCCCTGGGGTTGCGCTTTGCGGAGGAAGCACCTTGCATTGCCGCCCAGGCCCACCCCCCCGCCAAGCGGGCAAAGCATGGCGGCAGAGGTTCAGCTCCCACTGCACACCGCAGATCACACAGAGGCACAGCCCCGTCTCCAGGGCAACGGGGGAAAGCGCTGAGCGCCTCGCCAGTGATTCGTGTCCGCCTGTCGGGTCGACCTTGCTTCTGTTGCATTTCAACAAGCCGAGGATGGATCTTGATGATGCCAGTGGAAAGCGCAAGGTGCCGAACGTGCAGGCCCGGTCGGCCATGCTCACTGGGGCTCTGATTGTGGGAATGTGCCTCGGCGTCATCGTCAGCGAGAAGCTCTACTTGATCACTCAAGAGGCGGATCTGCCCGAGGGAGCGGTGGCGGCGGTGCGCTCCCGCAAGCTGGAGGTGCAGGCGAGCGCCGGCACGGCGGTTCGGCGGTCGACCGGCAAGCCGCGCAGCGAGCTGGAGGAGATCCTGCAGCGCGTGGCGCCGCAGGGCGAGGTCATGATCGCGATCAGCAACATGAACCTCATACACGAGCAGTCGCTAGTAATGTGGCTGGAGGTATGTGGCAGCCCCAGAGGGTGTGTGCAGCAGCGCCACGGTCAGTCGCAAGTCTGCTGGCATTGCATGATAGTGTGGCAAACTATCTTTATACCGTCAGCAACATGCTGAAGATTGGAAAGATGTTTACCCTGGCTGCCAATCTAGGCCATGCCGGCTTAGCTGCCCATCTGGCCATGCCCTCCCACCCCATCCGTCTGCAGTGCGTCCAGCGCATCGAGGGCCTGACCAACTGGCTGATTGTGGCCATTGACGAGCAGCTGGCAGCCTACTGCAAGGAGAAGGGCATCAACCACTACTACCGCCCTGTGGTGATCCCCGACTCCCAGAAGGACACGGGCAGCAACCACGCCATCTCTGCCATGAAGTACGAAATCATCCGCGAGTTCCTGCAACTGGGCTGGGACGTGCTGCTGAGGTGAGGGGGCTGGGTCAAGTTGAGGGGCTGAGCATGAGTGCAAACTTGCCTCCATCTCATTGTCGGACCACCAACCCAAACGGGTGCCCTGCGCCCCCGCCCTCGCGCCGTGCAGCGACGTGGATATTGCGACGCTGCAGAACCCCTTTGACCACCTGTACCGCGACAGCGACGTGGAGGGAATGACAGATGGGTTTGACCCACTCACAGCCTATGGCGAGATCTACGGCATCGATGATGCCACCATGGTGCGGCAGCAGCAGCGTGGGTGCCTGGCCTTGAATTCCTCTACCGCTGCTGCTTGCGGCCGCGTGTGCTGCTCCGCCCTGCTTTGTTGAGCTGGCTCCCGCCGTGAGCTGCTCCTGGTGTGGCGCAGGGGTGGAGCCGCTACGCGCAGGGCACGCGCCACATGGCCTTCAACTCGGGCCTCTTCTTCATCAGGGCCAACGACAAGACAATCGACCTGCTGACGCGCATCGCAGGTGGGCTGGGCTGATGCAAGGTTGGCTGTTCAGTTTCACGCCCAGTGCACCACGACTTGATCCATCTGCTGAGCATGATTTTGCCGATGCATTTTGTGTCACTGCATTTTGCGTCACATTGCTACAGATAAGCTTAGCAAACAAAAGGAGTGGGATCAGAGTGTGTGGAATGAATTTATCTTTTTCTTGTCGCACGGGGACTACAAGTCGCCGCAGGTGCGGGTTGTGTGCTTCTGTCCTGGTTTCAGTAACCAGCTGATGTGGTTAATGGTGTCCAGCTCTGTGCTGTCAAGCTCCTGAGACACCCCATCTGGCTGATGAATTTGTGCTCATGCTTGCCCCTGCGCAGATCATTCCCCGTGTTATGGATTACATGAAGGTGCGACGGGGCTGGAGCAGATGGGCTGTTGCCCTTTGCCTGGCTCGTGCATTCTTTGGTGTGCAAAACGCGAATCCCTGCCTCTTTGTTTGCCCCTGCGCAGTTCATGAACACCAAGGTGCTGTTCAAGCAGGTCCGGCACATGCCAAAGGACCAGCAGCCCAAGCCGGTGATGGTGAGTGGCGCTGCCAGTGCTGTGGCCGGCTGTCTGGGGATGTGATTATTGTAACACTGCTGCCTGCATAATCGGCACCGGGTCTCGTGGGCCACCAACCGATGTCATTTGCAGTGCATGTACCGTAGCTAATTAGTTTTCTCTGCTGTCACTGCTCCCCACGCATTGCGCCCTTCCTCGCCCTTCCTCATGATGCCTTAGGTGGTGAGTGTCATTGCTGTGGGAGTGGCTTGGAGTCTGTGGGGGCAGGACCAGCTGCATGGCGGCATGGATTGATGCTTTTACCTTTTTTTTTCACTTGATGCTTTTACCTCCCTATTTTGCAGCACTCCAATTACCATCCGGACAAGTCTGATCGCTTGAGGGCCATCATTGCGCATTACATTAAAGGGGACGAGCATGCTTTGGATAAATTCCCTGGAGGTAGCGAGCCCGGGTCATGATCCCCAAGGTCATCGTCCTGCACCGGGGTTCCCAGCTCATGCACTCGTACCCTCACACTTTTTGCCTGTCTATAATGTTTTATTCTATGCTGCTGTTTATCTCTGCTTCCGGCTGTGTTTTCCAAGCTGCTGCCCGGCGGGTGCCAGCGGTTGCCGAGCTGCAGGCCTTCCCGACCACTGTACCACCTCCCTCTGTGGCATGCTTGTAACGAGGGGAAGATAGCACATGTGGGCACGCAGCCAGTGATTGTCAGCGATGTGAGGGGCATCTCCGACGACTCCAGGACGGTCAAGGCGGTGACTCCGGCGAGGAAGGCCGCCGCCACCTCGCCGCCAGCTCATGCCTGGTTCCATGTTGCACCCCTCGCACCGGAGATTCATCAGGAGCTTGACAGGGAAGGCGTGACTGCTCTAGGCGGCGCTGCTGGCCAACAAAAGCCTCTATGTCACAGCCTCGGCTGACCGCAGACCAGACTGTCCAAGTGAAGGTAAATTGCCAACAGTTAGCAGTGGATCATCAAGTCCGCCTAAGGTCGCAACGCCGCTGATCGCCTGCCCGTCTCGCTGCTGCAGCTTGTACGCAGCGGGGCCCGAGACGAGCTGAAGCAGCTGGCCAGGCAGAGGCTGGAGGAGTCGGGGTGGACAGACGAGGTCCGCCAGCTGTGCCGAGGTATGGCTGCCGAGGGCGGCGGCGGCGGCGGCGGCGGCCGTTGCAGGGCCTTGGACGCGTGGTGCGAGTTGCTTGCGAGCAGCGGTCCAGCTCTGCGGCTGCCCTGCCCTGTACAGAGTTTGTGGCCACCCAGGGCTCCGGCAGCGTGCGGCACGAGGAGATTGTGGCGGCTGTCAAGCCCGCCGCGCGGGCCAAGGTTCCCGACCACCTGAAGGCCGAGCTGCTGAAGCGCCTGCGCGATGTGCTGGAGGGCTGAGCGCCCGCACTAGCCAGCCAGCCACAGCCCCGGCAGGCCGGCAGCTTGTCCCTGCATGGCGACCCACGTGACCGCGGAGCCGGTGGGCGTGGCCTTCCTGCCGCAGCCCGAGCAGCAGCTGTTTTTTGACGAGGCGGCGGCGTGCATCCACCTGGTGGAGGGGCGCATGATCACCGCAGTCGCCCTGCCCTCACCAATGTACGGCGGAGGCGCGGCGGTCGCCGCGGCGGCGGCCGCCAGCCTCTCCCGCCTCTCCCTCTCCTCCTCCTCCCCCGACCCCTCGGGCTACGACTCCGACAGCAGCGTGGCCTCCACCACCGCCAGAGCCTTCCTGGTCAGCGAGGGCCCGCCGGTGCGCCACATCCGCAGCAGCCTGGATGGCGCCTTCACCGCGCTGCACCGCTCGGCGCGGCTGGTGGAGGTGCACTGCCACGCCACCGGCAACATGTTCATCGAGACGGCGGGGGCAGACAAGCAGGGGTGCGTGGGTGGGGTTGGGTGGGGGTGGCAGTGTGGGGGGAGAGGCTTGCTGCGTTGCGGGGGGCTTGCGCCAGCGATAGACGTTGCCTGGCCGCGGCTGCAGCAGCTCCCCCACCGCCCCTTGGATGAAACGCATGTGCTGCCCCTGTGACATGGCCTCGGCGTCGCCCCATCCAGCCGGCGCAGGTTGTGCCGCCAGCCTTCCGCCGCCCGCCCTCTCACCCTGCTCACTTCGTTACACGCTGCCTGGCCTGCCATGCCCCTGCCGCCTCCCTTTGCAGGCGCAAAGGGTGCGACCCGCGCCTGCTGGGCTTCTTCTGGACTGCCGCCCAGTTTGTGATGGTCACGGCTGGCGGGTTAGAAATCCACTTGGTGCACCCCTCGCTCCAGGGCCTGCGCATGGATGCCACTGTGCCGCTGCAGGTAAGGTGGCGTGTGCTTGTGAGAGTGTATGGCGGGGGTGCCGAGGAGGCAGCACCAGCACGGGATGCTCCAGCAGGTGCATGTGTCGAGGCTGGAGCAGGGGAGGTGGCGGCAGCCTGTCCCAGCCTCGCTGTCTGCCGCCCGGCCAGCTGCTGGCTGCGGCGGCGCCGGTGCATCCCCCGCACACCTGCCCTGCCCCTGGGCACGCGCCTGCTGTGCAGGGGGTGCAGTGGTACACATACAGCCCCGAGACGCACATGGTGGTGCTGGGGTTTGGCAGCAGCGGTGCCAAGCTGCAGGTGCGTGCGCGGCATGTGGCCCCACCCAGGGCAGCCGCTGCCAGGGCATTGCGCCCACGGCCAGCCGGGCATAGCAAAGCAACCAGCAGCCAAGCAGCCACGCTTTGCGGCGTGCCCTGGACTGGCGGCCATGGCTGGCTGCCCCGTTGGCCCTCGCCTCCCACTCCTCGCCTCCCCCTCCTCGCCGCCTCACCCGCGCTGCCGCGCCGCCATGCCCCGCCTCCTGCTGCCCCCCTGCGCAGGCCATCCAGTTCAGCAAGGCGGGCACCCTGAAGCTGCCGCTGCTGGACCTGACGCCCCCCTGGGGCAGCCCCATCCGCCCCGTGCAGGCCGCCGCCGTCAGCGCCGCGCTGGAGGGCTTCTCGGCGGCGCGCGGCCAGCCCGAGCGCCTGGTGGCCCCAGACACGTGCTGGGTGGTGGTGCTCTACGGCCGCGTCTTCTGCGCCCACCACGACCGCGGGGCAGGCCTGCTGCGCCTCTACCGCATGTTCAGGTGCGGGTCGGCGGCAGACGCGGGCCCGCTGCTGCCGCGGTGACGGGTGTGGCGCGGCAGCACAGCGCACCTGGCGGGCGTCAGGCAGCGGCGGGCGGCCCGGCGCGCACCTGCCTGCCTGCACGGCCCCAGCGGGCCGACGCCGCCTGCGCGCCGCCCTGCCCGCCCGCCCTCTGCCGCCTGCAGGGATGCCACCTCTCTGGCCCACCAGTACGAGGTGTATGCGCGGCAGCTGGAGCTGTCGGTGGTTGACAATGTGCTGCTGGTGAGGCGCGGGCGGGCCTGTGCCTGTGTGTATGCTGGAAGGGCAGGGTGACAGGCAGGGGGCGGGGACGTGGCAGCAGCGGCCACCCCAGCATGGCCTGCCCCTTGGCTGCCTCCCCCCAGCCGTCGTTGCCAGCCGGCCCAGCGCGTCCATGCGAGCGGCCACACCCACCCCGCCCGCCTCTTGCGACGTGCGCACCCGGCCGCCCTCCCTGTGCCGCGCAGGTGCACCACATTGACAGCGCTGTGGTGATGCTGGTGGATATCATGGAGGCAGGGCCCGCGCCTGTCAGCAGCCCGCTGCCGCTGGCGGTGCCGCTGGCCCGCGGCGGCGCCGACCCCGAGCCTGGCGCGGGCGAGGCTGCGGCGGCTGGGGCTGGCGCGGATGCCGGGCGGAGTGGTGAAGATGGCCAGGAGGCGGCTGCGGAGCAGGATGCGGCGGCGGGCGAGGCGCCAGAGCTTCCGGTGTCGACGGGGGGCGGGGGGGAGGTGCCAGCTGGCGCCTCGGGGGCGGCGGCGGCGCCCGCCCTGCAGCTGCACTACCCGGCCTGGCTGGTGGATGGCGGCGCTGGGCTGGTGTACCGCCTGCAGCTGGACCTGCGTGCCGTGGCAGACAGCCAGTCGGACTACCTGCGCCTGCTGGCCTTCCTGCAGCGCCGCCGGCCGTCTGGGGTGCCGCGGCGCGACCCGGCAGGCATCACGCTGCGCGTGCTGCGGGGGCTCATGCAGGACGAGGCGCAGCTGCCGCTGCTGCGCAGCGCATTTGATGTGGTGAACGCGTATGGCGGTGAGGGGGCCAGGGCGCAGCAGGGCGGCCGCGGCGACGGGCGCGCGCCGCACCGGCAGCGTGGGGCGGCGGCGGCGGCATGCGCTGCTTCCAGCCCCGCCCCGCCTTCCTCCCATCCACCACGGCTTGTGGTCACGCCTCAGGCAAGGCCCCGCTGCACCTGCTGCTGCAACGTATCCCAGCACCTTGCCCTCCGCTTTGTTCCAGGGCACGCAACCGCCATGACATGCCGCCCCCTTGTTCCACTCCCTATACCTGTCTGCCCCATGACGGCAGCCTGCCTGACCCTGCGCCCGCCCTACGCGCAGGACGTGTACAGCTCTGCGTTTGCGGTGCTGCGGGCGCGGCAGGCGGCGTCACCCGCCTACCTGCGCGCCGCGCTGGCCGAGTTTGTGGCGTCGTGCCACGCGCACGGCGCCCCCCCCGCCCCCTCCCTGGCCTCCTTGTATGTCGACCTACTGTTGGACCAGGTGGGTGGGTGAGGTGGATGGTGAGGGAGGGTGATGGCATGTGAGCTCCAGGGGGCACTGTCGTGGTCTACAGCAGCGCTCGCCTTCAAAGGCGGAATTCCGGCTGATGCGTGGGGTGGCCACCACATCGTGGCTGCTTGCACCGAGGCCTGCCAGCCTCCACTCCCTGCCCCTGCTCCACACACACGCACACCGCCCCTGCCTGCCCACAGGGACACGCGTACCTGGTGGCGCCGCTACTGCTGTCGCACCCGCAGCTCGACTCGGAGCTGCTGGCTGAGCATGTGGAGGCGGCAGCAGCTGGCGGCCGGCTCCCCCAGGGCGCGCAGCTGGCGGAGCAGCTACTGGTGCGCCTGGGAGCGCACGCAGCGCGCTGCCGCCTGCTGCTGCGGCTGGGCAGGGTGCGGCAAGCTCTGGTGCTGGCCAAGCGGCAGCGCCTAGTACGGCAGCTGGCACCAGAGGTGCTGCTGGAGGCTGCCGCGGCCACCGGCGATGCTGTGCTCCTTGCGGCCGCTCAGCGGGTGTGCAGGGAGCAAGCGTCTGAGGGCGCCTTGCCAGGGCCAGCCGAGGCACGGGGCTACCAATGGCACCCTGGGCAACTGGCTCTAGCGTGATTCGTGTGTTCCTGCGGCTCTAGTGTGATTCGTGTTTCCTGTGTGTTCCTTTGCCCGCTCCCTTTTGCCCCAGCTCTCCAACACATCCCTTCCTGTACTTCACAATCCGGTCGCCGCCTCATCATCCTGCAACACTTTGCATTGGTGTGGTGAACCGCCACAGCGCTCAATGGAGCCAGTACATCCTTCAACCTGTGCATGTGCATGGGCCCACGGGAACGTGTCGGAGCTTGTGCAGCAGCGCTAGCAGTGCCCGGACAGCGGCTGCGCCGCCTACGCGCCTGCACATGCTGGACAACTCTGGCGAATGGGTGGTCCTGCTGTGCATTGCCTGGACCACAGGTCCTTTGCCCAACCCTGTTTGCCCCTGCTGCAGCTGTTCAGGTTGAACAGGGCCTAAGTACCTTCCGGGCTGCTGCTGTCGCGGGGTCCGCACTGCTGGCATGCCCTGCATCCGCATGTAAACAGCAGACTGCTCAATTTGGATCCCACAGAGAGGCAGGCCATGGGATGCCACGCGCGTGCACGTGTGACCTCATGAGATCAAAGCAGGCCTTGGGGCACGTAGGCGTGTTTGCTCACAGGATCATGTTCCACAGACCTTGCCTTTGCCCTCCTGCATGAAAGCCTCGTGCCCAGAGAGCCTGTGAGCCTGACCCAGCAGGGCCATCCCCCTTGCCGCCTGTCCACGGGACGGGTGCGCCAGAAATGAGCAAGCGGTGTTTTGGGGGCTGCAGGGCTTCCTGGCTGCGTGGTTTGCGCGGCGTAGGTGGCAGGCTGCCTCCCTTGTCCCGCCACGCCCCTTCCCGTCCCATCCTGCATTGCCCTTGGCCTGATGTGCTGCAGGGGACCCCAGTTTAGGCAGAAGATGACGGCGACCAGGCCCCTTCTACGCTCCGAACTTTACCTCTGCACTCGCTCCCAGACCAGCCGGGGTCCCTCCGACTCCCTCTGAAGGCCCTATCAAGGGCCCGCCGGGCTCCACGCACACGGCGCCACCATGCAAGGACCGCCGGGCGACGGCAACGCGTCCGCCGCGGGCACCAGCACCAGCGGCACTGACGTGCTGTTGCAGCTGCTGGCCAGCCTCCAGCAGCAGCAGCAGCAGCAGCACCCACAGCAGCAGCACGTCGAGGTGCATCAGCAACAGGTACAGCCAGCTGTGCCTCCCACACTACCGCAGTCCTCATTTGTAGTGCCTCAGCGACCGCAGTCGCTGCAGCAGCCGCAACAGGAGCAGCCGCAGCAAGAGGAGCAGCAGGGTGCAGCCTCACTACTGCAAGCCCTGCTGCTGGGCTTGCAGCATTCGCAGGGCGGTGCAGTGCAGCAGCAGCAGCAGGTGCCGGTACAGCCGCCGCCGGACCCCCTGTCGGCGCTCATGCCGTCCCTTCGCCAGCAGCAGCCCGCAGATGATGCGAGCTTCCTGCTAACGCTGCTGCAGCTCCTGGCTGCCGCCAGCGGCGGCAGCAGCCAGGTGGTGACGCAGCAGGCGCAGGTGGCGCTGCCGCCGCGCACCACCGCGGCCCTGGTGTCTGCCGTCCCGTCGGCCTTCCCGCAAACGCTTCCCTGGTCACCATACACTGCGCCCCCTCAGCAAAACGACGTGATGCGGTGGCTGAGCCAGTTCAGCGCTCTGCCGGGCAGCGGCGGCACCGCGTCAGCCGGCCACCACATGGCGGCCATGCATGCCCCCGGCACGAGCCCCGTGGAGGGCGGCGGCATGCATGCGGGGCCCAGCCAGTATCGTGGCGCCCCGCCGCCGTCCGTGCTCATCCCACCCGAGGCCAAGCGGCGGCGGTCGGGTGAAGACCTCGTCTATGGCCACTCCGGCAGCGGCGCAGGCATGCAACACGCGCCAGCCTATGCAGAACACCTGCCGCAGGCTGCGGGCCAGCTGCCCGCACAGCTGGGGCAGCAGCTGGCGGCGGCGCTGGCAGCGGACGCCGCGCTGGCGGTGGACCGCGCGCAGGGCCTGTCCGGCGCTGGCCAGCAGCAGCCGCATGGCGGGCAGCTCCCGCTGGAACTGCTGCTGGCGGCCGGTGGCGGCCCTGCCGGTGCTGACCCTGGCATGGGCGATGATGGCAGCGGCAGCCACGAGTTCCAGGCAGCGCTGGCGGCAGCCATGGCGGCGGTGGGCATGCCTGCGGCACCAGGCAGCGGCAGCTCACACCACCCTGCAGCGGCGTACGGCAGCTCGGCGGCGGCCCACCACGTCGGCGGCGGCAGCAGCAGGCACGCCAACCCGCATGGCTACGGCGTGGCGATGCCTGCGCCGGAGGGCATGCGGCGCGCAGACATGGTGGCTCTGTATGGACACCCCACGGAGCAGGCAAGCCTTGGCGGCGGCACCAACCCCACAACTGCGTGTTGCTCGGCTTGCCTGTAGCCCTCGTGGTGCTGGTGGCGGCTGCCGCTGGCTGGCCTGCACCCGGCCTGGGCGCTGGAGGCACGCTGGTGCCACTGGAGGCCAAGCCCGCCCCTCCCACACCCCGGCGTATGCGTGCAGGTTGAGCGCCAGATCACCAACCAGACCTACATCCTCCGCCTGCACGTCACCACACAGATGGCGCAGCTGCTCTTCCCGCCGCGCGCGGAGCTGGAGGCGGCGCACCAGGCGGCCACCGCCCTGGACCCGCCGCCCCCCAGCAGCAGCCGCCTGGGGGGCGGCAGCACCTACATCCAGCTCTTCAAGCAGCGCCTGACCGTTGTGGATGAGGGCAACAGGGCGTGGCCGGTGCAGGTGCGTGCCGTGCCGCGCCGGCGGGCATACACCACACCTCATCCCGCTGATGCGCACCGCACATCGCCGCCGCCGATCTTTGCCTCGGGCGCGCTGCTGGGTGCCTGCTCCAACCTGCTCACTTTGAAGCGTGCCGCCCCCTGCTTCTCCTGCCCCGCTGCCGCTGCGCAGTACGAGGGCTTCCTGTCCAGCGGCCAGCGGCACTACCGCCTCACCAGCGGCTGGGTGGGCCTCATGCGTGCGCAGCAAGTGGGCATAGGTGGGTGACCGCCGCCTGCTATGTGTGCCGCGCCAAGCCAGCCTCAGCGTCGAGTCAAGCATGCATGGCTAGCCAAGCGGCGGTGCTGGGCAGGGCACCCTTCCTCCCTCCGGCAGTTTAACTGGCCGCGCATGCCTCGCGCCGCTGCCTGCTGCAGGCGACACGCTGGTGCTGGAGCGGTGGACGGACGACCGCTGGATCATCCACCTGAGCATCCGGCGCAAGGACCAGCAGGAGCAGCAAGCAGACGACAGCTCGGCGGCGGCGGCGGCGGCCACGCTGGCTGGTGGCGCGCCGGATGCTGCGCCTGCAGCGCTGGGCATGGGCGCGCCCCCGCCCATGCTGCTGCGCTCCCAGCCGATGTTCACCGTGTCGGTGCCGCAGCCGTCCTTCCCTGAGGGGCCCAGCCGGCATGCAGCTGCTGCTGATGCGCGCGGCTTGGAGGCGGTGGCCATTAAACAAGAGCCAGAGACTGGCGACACCATGGCGCCGGGTTTGGTCCCATCTCCTAGCCCTCCAGTGCCCTCTGGTGCAGCAGCAGGTGCAGATGCCCTGCCCTCTGCCCCAGCACAGGCAGCAGATGCCGAGCCATCTGCCCCGGAGGTACCTGCTGCCGCTGCCAGCCCGACGACCCTTGGCGGTGAGGGTGGCAGCACAGCAGAGGCGGCGCAGTAGACGACATTGCTGCCAGCTGCGGTTTGCCCTTGGGCCAGCCTCTCTGCCAGGCCGAATGCTGCTGTCCACAGCTTGTGTCATCAATGGCACCCACCTTGTCACCGAGCCCTCCTTAAACCTCACCCAGGACCCCCCCCCCCACCACCACCACACACACACACACTCACACCTCACACCCTGACCAACGCTGCTCAATTGAACTGCACTACTGTCAGATGCCCGCTTTTCCTGCCTGGCCCAATCCTCTTTTCCTTGCTGGCAGTGCTTCCCAGCCCTCTCTCCCTGTCTTTCATTCCCATGATGCTGTCTCTATCTCCTATTCTTTTCCACCGCCAGCTTCTGCTCACTTGAACCGCAACTGGGAGCAGGAGCTGTGCATCCCTCCTACCTACTGTCAACATCAGTTCATTTCCAACCCTACACACCTCACATCACCAACGCTTGCCTGCTGCCTGCTACATACCCTTGTACCGAATGTGTATTGGCATCCTGCTTCCCCCTCCCATGCGTCCACCACAGACGCAGCTCGGTACTTCAGTGGCGACTGCCTTTGCGCCTCGAATCCCAGGCAACTAAAAGGGTAGGACAAGGAAGGAGGGTGCACCACGCCTCTACAAGTGCTAATGCCAGTCGTGCTGCTTGTTACACCACGGAGCTGGAGAAACGGGACGCGTCTGAAAAATGGGCTAGAACTATACGTGACACGAGTGGTGGGAGGTGGCGCGGTGGCGGCGTGCACCACAGCCCTCGGCACCTGATGACGGACGTCGTCGGGTGATGGCGGGCACGTCACTGGCAGCCCTCCACGCTGCTGCTGCTGCTGCTGCGGGGCTGGCCGCCGGCTCAGCTCTCAATCACCATGGCCTTCTTCAGCAGCGAGCCCACAGTGTCGCTGGGCTTCGCGCCCACGGCCAGCCACTTCTTGATGGCGGGGGCATTCAGGTTGGCCTCCTTCTTCAGCGGGTCGTACCAGCCCAGGAACTCGAGCGGCTTGCCGTCTCGCCGCACCCGCGAGTCCACCGCCACTATCCTGTAAAACGGCAGCTTCTTGCGACCCACGCGCGTGAACCGGATCTGCAGCGGCGGACGCAGCAGGCAAGGTTCAACGCGCGGCACCAGGAGTGCAAGCTCGCTGGGGGCCAGCCAGCAAGCAGGTTTGTCAAACTATGTCGACACAGGTTTCTTTGCACAGCTGGTGGCCCTGCTGCAAGGTTGGCTCCTGCACAGGCCGGCCAGAGCCAGCGGCAGCGGCCGCCTCACCGCCACACGGTTCTCCACCAGCGGCATGCCAACAGGGGCGCGTGGCTGGGTGCGGATGGCCTACAAGCACGGAGACAGGGCGGCAAAAGCGTGAGTCTGTGAGCGCTGGCCGGGCACTGCGCACCGCCACGCATGCGTGCGGGATAAGAGCTGCGCGCGCCACGCACCTGCGCGTTCAGGCCCTCGGTCTGGCCCACACTGCTCTTGAAGGCCAGGCTGCTGCTGCGCATGGTGAAGGCGCTTTGGAGGGCCGCCATTCTGCCGCTGATGCACGCTCCGGTTCGTCTCCACAGCGCCAGCAACCTGCCTGGAGCCGTGGCGGCGCCAATGTACGTTCCTGCGGCAAGCGCCCAGTACACCAGGCAGGACAGGCAGGGATCGAACTGCCTCGCCACGAACGAGGTGCATTCGCGGCGTAACTCCGGTACATTCCAGCACAAGAATTAGTTGTTTGCATTGTCTGTCAAAAAGTACATGCCTGGAATTCTGAAGGGCCTCCACCGTCCAACCCGGCTTTCCCTGGCACTTGAAGGAGCGGGAGGCATGCAGGTCATCCCCAATTGAGTTCCTGGGCTCCCCACACTTGCAGTCACTTCCGCCTCGCTCGACGGTGCAGTGCCGTCGGCTCAGGCTGCAAGGCCAGGCACGCCCAGGCTCACTCAAAACCAAAGTGTTCGCTCAGGCATCATGGCGCTATTTCATAGAACACGAGACAAAACAGCAAAATCGGTACCACCTGCCAATAACTCTCCGTCTTACAGGCTTCACCGAGGCCACCACACCTGCGCAGGGCGGCGGGCGGCGGCAGCGCGCAAAGCATGCTGCCCGCCTCCACAGCCTCATTGCTGCAAAAGGTCGGAGAAGCATTGCCCCTCTCATCCATCAACCATCCCCAATGTCCTCGTGAGGCTGAGAGCCCCTTTGCGGCCCACCACAGCTGGCGTCCGATGGGTGCCAAGGTGCGCTGCTACAAGTCTTGAACGCATAAGGGGATGGCCACGGTATTGGTGTGAGCGGGAGGCAAAGCCGAGCGAGCTATCCCCCCCGCCTGACCCCACCTGCTGCAGGCCGGCCCCAGCAAAAAGCCGCGGCTCCCCGAGGGCGCCGATATCACCCGCTTCTTCGACCGCACACACCACGCGGAGCAGGCAAGGCGGCGGGGCACGTTGCGTTTGAGTAGGCGGAGGCGCTGCGGTTTTGAGCGGCCCCAGCATGGGGTCAGGCTGGACTTGCACTCTTCCTCCTGGCCAGCTTGCCGCCCTGAAATGTCTTTTTAACCATGAGGACGTGGTGTTCATGCAGGAAACGGGAGCCCACCATGCCAACCGGGACGAGGCCCCCAGCCGGCATAACTCTCCATCGGGGCGAGGCGTGGCGGCAGCCGCAGCGGCGCCGCCAGACGGTGCCCCGCAGCACGCCGCTGCGCCAGCTGCAGCCGCGGCGCCCGCGCGCTCTGCACTGCACAAGCACCTGACCGCGCTGCAGGACCTGGTGCCGGCTGACAGCGTAAGGCGATGGCTGCATGAGCAGCAGGGTGGGCCGCATGGGACCCTGTGGGTGGTCGCCTTTCATCACACCTGTGCTGTAATTGCCGGGCCTGCTGTTCCCCTGGGCATATCCACCCGCCCCTGCTGCCACCTAGTCCCTCGCCTCCTGCTGCCACCTTGCGCCCCTGACCTCCTGGTTGCCCCCACCCCCCACCCCCACCCCTCAGTTTGCGATGAGCCAGGACACAGACGCGATGCAGGTCGTGTGGCACGACTCCCCAGGCGCCAGCTCCCAGCACCAGGCCCGCACCGTCAGCAACCTGGGCCGCCCCGCCGCTGCGCCCCGCGGCGCCGCCGTCGGGGGCGGCGCCCAGGAGCTCAGCGCCATCAAGCAGCGCCTCATCTCGGCGGCACAGAAGCCGCGAGACGTGCGGCGGCCAGGCCCCCCGCTGCCCGGCGCCGGCAGGCTGCAGCAGAGCGAGCAGTTTTTGGAGGGCCTGCTGGCGCGGCAGCAGCAGCAGCAGCCTGACGTGGCGGCGCTGGCAGGCGCTGCGCCGCCCCCGCCAGCAGAGCACTCCAACCACTCGGGGGCGCACTCCGACCTTGCCGTGGCGGGCGGTGGCAGCGGCGGTGGCGCCCACCGCACGCCCGCCACCCACCTTCGGGGCATCCTGAAGCGCCGGGGCGGCGGCAGCGGCGGCAGGGGCCGCCAGACGCCCGCCTCCTCCGTCAAGTTCAGCCTCAACCAGTCCAGCGGCAAGAGGGCGCGGCACAGGGGCGGCGCGGGCGCGCCGCACGCGGGCAGCAGCGGCAAGAAGCGGCAGGCGGGGCAGAAGCGCAAGGCGCTGCTGGATCTGCTGGAGCAGGTGGAAAGCATTGTGTCCAGCGGGCCCAGCCCGCGGTCGGGAGACGAAGGGCAGGGCGGGCAGCAGACGCCCGGCGGCGCCAGGCTGGCAGCGCCCGCGCCGCCAGCAGACGACCCGGGCGCGGTCAGCGACAAGGAGAACTCTGCAGATGCGGCGCCTGCTGGGAGGCCTTGCAGCAGCCAGGAGCAAGCAGGCGGCGGGGCAGCGGCACCGCCAGCGCATGCAGGGCCCACAGGCAGCCAGCAGCTGATGCCGCCGCCCGGCGGCGTGCGCTGCTGCGGTGGGCAGCAGGCGGTGGCCACCAGCAGTCACCACGGCCAGCAGCCACCACAACAGGTGCCAGAGCCTGCTGCTGCTGCTGCTGTGGCTGGACCACAGCGGGCCCAGCAGCGCCCCCTGGCCACAGCGCAGGTTGGGCAGACACAGGGCAGCGGCGGCAGCGGCGGCAGCGGCGGGTTTGCTGGGGATGATGACGAGGAGGATGCGCTCATGGCGCGGCTGGAGCTGGAGCTGCTCACACAGGTGGAGCAGCGGCAGGCGGCTGCCAGGCACGGCTGGCCGGCGCAGCCAGAGCGGTCCGCACCGGCAGCCAAGGGTGCGCCGCTGTGTGGCGCCTATGCCCAGCCGGCACCAGCCCGCCTGCAGGCAGCTCCGCCGGCGGCGCAGCACCCGGCCGCGGCAGTGCAGCAGCAGCGGCAGCAGCAGCAGCGGCGGCAAGCTGCTGCGGCGGCCCAGCCCCGCCCGCTCCCAAGGTCGCCATACGACAAGGCGCTCAAGGCACAGGCGCTCACTGCGCAGGCGCTGCCAAAAGGAGCGCCCGCTGCGCCCGGCACTGCCCCAGGGGCCGCCCCTGCGGCTGCTGTGTGCACGGCGGCGCTGCAGGGCTCTGACAGCAGCTGGGATGACGACGGCTTTGATGCCCACCTGCTGGACCAGTTTGAGGCGGCTGCGCTCAAGGAGCGGGCAGGCCGCAGCGGGCAGGGCCAGCCCTCTGCCGGCGGCAGCGATGGTGCCGGCGGGACTGCGGCAGCCGAGGACGGGAGCAGGCCGCCGACGGCTGCTGCCGCCGCGGCGGCTGCCTACCCCGGCGACCGCGCCGAGGTGCGGTACCGCGTACAGGAGGTTTTCTCGGATTCGGTGGAGCAGGTGCTGCTGCTGCACAACAAGTACCAGGTGAGTGAGGCAGCTGCCGAGCAGTCGTCGGGGCGGGGGGCTGCTGCCGGGATGGGGCTGCTGCAAAGGTCCGCTGGGTGCGCTCGCCAATGCGCTTGCCCTGCTGTGGAGGTGAGCTGGCATGCATGCTGTGCTGCACTGCATGGCGGGCTGTGCAGAAGCGGGACGTGTATGCCCACCTGCGCGCACCCTGGACCGACCTGCCGTACCGCGTGGGCGACTCGGGTGAGGCAGGCAGCCAGGCAGGGGAACAGGCCGCTGGCGCCGCTGTGCGTGCTGGGCCACTGCGCACGGAGCTTGCACCCGCTTGTACCAATGCCTGCAACAGCAGCAGCGCCCTCCGCCCAGCGGGCGCTAGCACATGTCGCGTCACGCTGCCACGCCCGTGTGCGAGCGCCGCCTGCCCACCCCCACCCTGTGCGCCTCCTCCCCCCCCGGCCACTGCAGTCAACCTGCTGGCTGAGCTGGACTTCTTTGAGGGCAACCACCACTGCCTGCTCAGCATGGAGCAAGGCATGCTCATCCTGCACCCAGACGTGCTGCTGTCGGGTGCGCGGCCGCCGCCTGGCTGGCATGGCTGCCGCCCGCTGCCGCGTCCCCGGCCTGACCGCCCTTGCTGTGCGCGACGCCGCGTGATGTGGGCTGGGCATGCAGGCACGCGCATCACCACCAGCCACGAGTGCCCGCGCCGCTCCTTCCTGGATGAGCGCGTGGCGGGGGATGGGTCCAACGACAAGGCCGTCAAGGGCACCCTCACACACAACCTCATCCAGGCGAGCGGCCGGGAGGCTGGGAGGGTGGCTGGGTTGGGATGTGGTTACTGTCAGCTGGGAGGCGCGCCGCCTGCGCCCGACGGCAGCCACCGGCTCGCACTCCTCCCTTCTCCTTCCTTCCCCGGTTGAAGCCCAGCTGCTTTCTTCAGAATAGAGCCTGGTGTGGCCTGGCTCGGCTGGGCCGCGATACCAGCAACCGCGCGGCGCCAGCTCCCCGCCTGCGTGCAGGCGGCGCTGACGGAAGGGCTGCGCACGCCGACGCAGCTGGTGGCGCGTGCCGAGCGTGTGGTGTGTGAGGCCACCGAGGCGCTGCTGGAGGTGGAGCTGAGCGAGGAGGCGGCCATGGAGTGCCTGAGGCAGGCGGTGCCGGGCATACAGAGGTGTGCACCATATGGGGGCGGGGCGTGGGCCTGTGGGTGGATGGGGCTGGCGGCATGGCTGCAGAGACGTGGCAGGAGTGGTGTGGAGGGGGGACAGTCATGGAGCGCTGCAAGGTCTTGGGGCCGGAGCCGTGTCCAGCCCGCGCCTCCGCCTCCTGGCCTGTGCCTCTGCAGGTGGATGCACCGCTTCCTGCGCGCCGACCCCGCCCCAGACTCGCTGCTGGGGGCAGGCATGGACTACGGCACGGGCAGGGACATACGCCGCATGGTGGCGGTGCAGGTGGGGGTGCCAGGCTGGCTGCCAGCGTGCCTGGTGGGGCGCCAGGCCCGCGGGCAAGCAGCGCAGTTGGGATGCATGCCCCTTGCCCGTTTGAGCCTGCCTGCATGGATGCGGCGCTGTGTGGACTCGACGATTCACCTGCACATGCATGCACGTGTGTGGGGGCTGTGCGTGCAGGAGGTGGTTGACATTGAGGAAAGCATCTGGAGCACCAAGTTTGGCGTCAAGGGCATGATCGATGTCAGGTGGGGAGCTGGCCCTGGGCGCCGTACCCTGCAGCCCGTACCGTGGCGGGTGGGTGGGGCACATGGTTTGGGATGCGGGCGCATCATTGTCCACCTCGCCGTGCCTCGCTGCTGCCGCCCTGCGCTGCAGCACGCAGCTGGTTCTGGATGAGGTGGGGCAGGCGGCGCGGGGCGCCGCCCAGCCAGCCGGCGGCTGGGTGCAGGCCGGCGCGGCGGCGCAGCAGGCGGCAGGGGCGGCGGCGGGGCGTGAGGGGCGGCAGGTGACGGTGGCCCCTGTTGAGATCAAGACGGGGAAGATGCACGACAGCCACCGGGCGCAGGTACTGCTGTACCTGCTGCTCATGGAGGAGCGGTACGGCAAGCCGCTGGACTGGGGCATGCTGTGGTACACCACGCAGACAGGTGCGGGGCGGGGGCGGCCGTGGGTGTTGGGCCCAGCTGCAGGCCCCCTGGTTGCACCCCGGCATGGATGAGCCGTCCTGTTGCACACGCACCCCACGCCACTCCTGCCTGCACCTCCTGGCCCCTGCTGCAGACCCCCAGCTGGTGCTGAAGCGCCCCACCGACATGGCCTGCCTCATGGCGGTGCGCAACCGCCTGGCAGCTGCCATCGCGCACCGCGAGATGCCGCCGCTGACGGGTAGGTGGAGGGCGGCGGGCGCCGCTCACCTGGCGGCGCTGGCGCGCCTGTGTGGCGGGAGGCCGGCCAAAGTCTTAAGAGTGCTGGAGCTGGGTGTGTGCGGGCCTTGGCGCCTGTACTGCTTCTGTCTTGAGCCTCACGGCATCCCTGCTGCCTGCCCTGCCCTGCCCTGCCCTGCCTGCAGAGGAGAAGCGGCAGTGCGGCTGGTGCTTCCAGCAGCTCAACTGCGCGATGGCGTTCAAGGCGGAGCGCGGCGAGGCGGCCACCGGCGACAGCTTTGTGCGGCCCAGCACCGACCGCGGCGGCAACCTGGACCGCGTGCAGCAGGAGCTGGCGGCCAAGTATGAGCGCGCCACGGGGCACATGACGCCCGCAGGTATGCAGCCGGGGCTTCCCTAGCTGGGCTGGCAGCTGCAGGCGGTGGTGGGCCTGTGTGTTGGTACCTGTGAGCCAGCTGCACAGGGTCGCTGCTGGCCCCAGGTGCCTGCCTGTCTCTGGGAGTCGATGCGTGCCCCTTCCCCTGCCTCCCTCGCAACATGCAGACTGCGAGTTCCTGAAGAAGTGGGAGGCGCTGGTGACGCTGGAGGACGGGCACAGCTCCTCGCGCCGCCCAGAAATCTGGGCCATGGAGGGGCAGCAGCGCCAGCAGCTGGGGCGCTGCGTGGCGGGGCTGGCGCTGTCGGTGGGTTCGGCGCCTGCTGCGCCGAGGCTTGCGGGGCGCCACTGTCCGCAAGCTGTGTACAGAAGCTGGCTGCCAGTGCTCCATGCCAGGGTGATGTGCCCCCTCATCTCCCGCTCACCCCATCACCTTGACCCCCCCTGCCCCACCCACAGCATGTGGATGAGGAGCAGCTTCTCTACACCTTCTGCCGCCCCGATGGCGCCGCCGTGGACTGTGGCTTCCAGGAGGGCGAGATGCTGCTGCTGTCGGTGGAAGGTGCACAGAGGGCCGCTGCCGCCGCCTCAACGCACGCTGGGCCCATTGTGCTGTGCAGCCAGCCCACCACCGCCGCCCATGTTGGCCCTTTACCACGAAGCATTCCAGAAAACACGCATGCACCCCTGCTGTGTGTGCAGGCCAGCACGTGGCTGTGGCCCGAGGCTTCTTCTACACCTGCACAGCCTCGCACATGACAGTCTCCCTGAACAAGCCGATGCGGCGGGGGCTGCTGGCGCCCAGCGGCGCGCCGCCGGGAGCGGCGCCAGCGGGCGGCGCCGTGGCGTTTGACGCCAGCGTGCGGTGGCGGGTGGACCGGGACGAGGTCAGCAGCACCTTTGTGCGCCTGCGGGGCAACCTGTTTGCTCTCTTCCGGTGAGCACCGTGGGAAGGAAGGGGGGGCAGCGGGGCGCAGCGCTTGGGTGGCGCCGTCATGAGGGCCGCGCGGCCCGAGCCGGGCTGGCATTGCCTCGGAACTCGCTGAGCTGCACACGCATGCGGCCGCCTGCTCCTCGGGACCCACCCGGATCCTGTCTCCTTGCGTGTGCCCACCCAACCCCCACCTTCCTCCCAGGCGCGAGTACCAGGCAGCCAAGGACCCCCAGACCAACAGGGTCGCCTACGGCCCCGAGCTGCCCGAGTCGCAGCACGCCGCCAAGCTGCGGCGACTGGTTGTGGCCCTGGAGGCGCCGCGCTTTGCGGCGGCGGACCCCACCCAGCCTGACCCCACCCCTCCCGGCATGAACAGCGAGCAGCACGAGGCGGTGCGGCGCGTGCTGCGGGCGCGCGACTATGCGCTTGTGCTGGGCATGCCGGGGGCGGGCAAGACCACCACCATCGTCAGCATGGTGCAGGCGCTGGTGGCGCAGGGCAAGAGGGTGCTGCTCACCTCCTACACAAACAGGCAAGGGGGGTTGCCGCCTGGCGCGTGTGCACGCATGGGCCGTCCCAGGCGCACAGCCTATATGCCCGCTGACCTCCCCGGCCTGCTGCGCCCCTCGGCCCCCAACCTCCCCCTGCCCGCCTGCAGTGCTGTGGACAACATCCTCATGAAGCTGGCCGGGGAGGAGGTGCCGTTTGTGCGGCTGGGGCGCCTGGCCAGCGTGCACCCCGCGGTGCGACCCTGGACGCCCGGCGGCGAGCGCTACCCGCTCAAGGCGACGCGCGAGCTGGCGCGGCTGGCAGACAGCGTGCCTGTGGTGAGCGTGCCGGGGGCGTGGTACTGGCCTGTGTGGGATTATGTGTGGGCTGGGGCGATGTTTGGGGGGCGTGCCAGTGGCCAGGCGTACAGCAGCAGCCAAAACGTGGCCGCTGCAATGCGCCCCAGCCACCACGTCGCATTCCTCCTGCACCGCCTCACCTCTGCCACTGCATCCCATGAACCCGCAGTTTGGCGCCACCTGCTTTGGCGTGAACCAGGCCATGCTCAAGGACAGGCTGTTTGATGTGTGCATCATTGATGAGGCGGGGCAGGTGGGGCGGGAGAGGGGCAGGGGCAGGGGGAGGTGCGCAAGCCTTGTGGACGGGTAGGAGGGGCTGCTGCCTCCGGCTGCCTTGCCGGCCCTGCCCCACCCGCTCACCACCATGCACACGACGCCTGGCGCTGCAGATGGTGCTGCCCGCCGCGCTGGGGCCGCTGCTCAAGGCGCGTTCCTTTGTGTTGGTGGGCGACCACAACCAGCTGCCGCCGCTGGTGACAAGCAAGGAGGCGGAGGCGGGGGGGCTGGGGGAGAGCCTGTTCAAGCGCCTGTCGGAGGCGCACCCGCAGGCAAGCGGCCACGCCGGCGGGCACGCCGCTGGCATATTGAGCTCTGCTGTGGCTCTGCATGCACGATAACAAGGTGGTCCGCCTTCTCAACTCCCCCCACCACACCACACCTTTGTGTGCCTGCCTGTGGTGCAGGCTGTGGTGTCCCTGCCTGTGCAGTACCGCATGGCTGCCGACATCATGCTGCTGCCCAACACACTCATCTATGACCATGCGCTGCGCTGCGGCACGGGTGGGTGGTGGCGCCTGCCTGCCTGCCTGCCTGGCGCCTGGGAGGACGGGGCTGGTGCAGCCTGTGGGCCGCATGGCATGCATATGCCTGCTCACTTTGGTTGCTGGCTGGCTGCCGCTGCCTGGCTGCGTGCAGACGGCATTGCGCAGGCGGCGCTGCAGCTGGGGCCGGCGGCGGCGGCCACGCTGGCCACGTGGCCCGGCTGGCTGCGCGAGGCGCTCGACCCTCAGCGCCGGGTGCTTTTCCTGGACACAGCACACGTGGAGGAGGCCCGGGAGGCGGGTGAGGGGCGCACAGGCGGCGCTGGTGGCTGCCTGTGTGCAGTGGGTGCGAGCGCCGCGACGTGCCGATGCTGCCCGCCCAGCTGCTTGGCCCCTAGGTCTGCTATGCTGACCCTGGTGCCCTGGCTGCTGTGCAGTGGCGGGGGATGCGATGTCCAACGGCGGCGAGGCGAGGCTGGTGCTGCAGCTGCTGCAAGCGGCGGTGGCGGCGGGGGTGCCCCAGCAGGCCATGGGCGTCATCTCGCCCTACCGCTCCCAGGTGGGGGCTGCGCCCGGCTGTGCCTGGCCCTGGGCCCCTGCGCAGCTCGAGCATGCCTGCTGCGGCAGGCAAGACCGAGGCCGGCCAGCAGAGGGAGTCAGAAGATTGGAAGCAGGCCTGCACTCGCCCAGCCAGCCCCTCCTGGCCTCTGTGCCGCCCGCCCGCCCCGCAGGTTGCGCTGCTGGACCGGCTGGCTCGTGGCGCGGGGCTGGGTGATGTGGAGGTGCTGACGGTGGACAAGTGCCAGGGGCGGGACAAGGACTTTGTGGCCATCAGCCTTGTGCGCAGCAACGCAGAGGCGGAGGCGGGTGAGGCGCGAGAGCCGTCGCCTGTGTGGGATGCGAGGGACTGCCGTATGCGAGCAACATATGCCCCGGGCAGGAGCGGCATGCGTTGCCCCACCCGCGCGTCCTCTGCTGGTGGCGGCCCGCCCCTTGCGCCGCTGCGCCTGCGCCCGCCCACCCTGCGCTGCCCCCTGCCCCGCAGGCAAGCTGCTGGCCGACTGGCGGCGCATCAATGTGGCCATCACGCGCGCCAAGTGCAAGCTGGTGCTGGTGGGGGACGCCTCCACGCTCAGCTCCATCCCGCTGTTTGGCCGCCTGGTGGCGCTGGTACAGGAGCGCGGCTGGTACAGGCAGCTCCCTGCAGACGCGGCCGCACCCGCGCCGCAGCCCATGCAGCAGTAGCAGCAGTGCCAGGTGCTCAACTGCAGATCTGCAAGCCATGTGCACCACTTGCTGGCCTTCAGGCTCCCCATCGCCTCTCTCTAGGCAACGCTTAGGCAACGCTTAATTCAACGTGGAGAGCAAGGGGGGTGGGATAAATGCAGGGAAAGAAAGGGGTGCTCAGTCAGCCAAAAAGGAGGTGCAGGAGTTGGTTGCCCAATCACCTGGGACAACAGAGGAAGGGTAGGTGGAAGTGGATTTTGAAGGAGTCAATCAGGGGATTGCCTGCTTGGTGGCCGAGGCAGATACACTGGAAGAGGCAGATACAGACGAGTGGAGGCACTCAGTTCGGAAAAGCGAGCAGCAGCACTTTCTTGTTTATTCAGCAACTGTCTTGGGTTCTTGGGGGACATATGCTCGTACCAGCAACACCAGCTGCCTGGCGGCCACGGCGCAGCCGCTTGCTGCCCACTGCTGCACTTGGCGGCCATGCCCTGCACGGCGCGGCCAGCCTTCCACGCCGCATGCTGGCGCAGCCGACTCGCAAGCCGTCAGCAGCAGCCGCCGTCTGCCTGGCAGGCTATCCCGGGATTTGCGGCGCCGGCTGCTGCCGCCGCGCCGCCCTCGCTGAACTCCTCGCGCCCCAGGTGCTTGGCCAGCGTGTTGCTGCAGGGTGGGCCAGGGCAGTGGCAGGAGCGGCGTGGGAGGAGGTGCGCCAGCCACCGGTGGCCAAACGCGGAAGTGTGGCTCGGCACCATGCTGTGGAGGCAAAGACGGCAGGCGGGGGGGGGCCGCTGCGTGGCCCCGCGGCGTGCTAGCAAGCCTCTGGCACTGTGCCCACCTGAGCGCCAGCGCGTCGCAGTGCTGCGGGTAGGCCTTGAGCATGTAGTGCGCACCCTGCACCAGAACAGCGCACCACGCTCGCCAGCTCAGCCACCGAGGCCCAGCACAGGCGCCGCCACCACTTGCGTGATGGGCAGGCTGCCGCTGCGGGTGCCGTGCAGGGGTCCCACCTGGAGTGGCGTGAGGATCTTGGAGATGAGCTGGCAGTTGAGGTCCATGACTGCGCGCTGCTCCCGCCGCAGGTTGTCCTGCACGCACACCAGCACGCGCAGGATAGGCCCAGCGGTGGGTATGGACAAGACAAAAACGCAAACAGGGCGGCACGGGAGCGGCCCGGCCCAGCCCGGCGGTGTGCCAGTGCCCTGGCGGTGCACAACGGCCCCGCCGCCATGCCCCGCCACACCCCTGCCCCCGCCCCGCCCACCTTGATCTTGTCCAGCACATCCCCCAGCTCCGCCGACGACTTGGCCACGTGCAGGTACCCCGCCTGGCTCATGTTCTGCATGCGCCCCTCCACCGTGTTGTCCTCAGACGGGTTCTTGCTGGAGTGCGGCAGCATGAGCGACATGGCCTGCGGGGCGGGGGCGGGCCAGGGGGAGGGAGGGAGGGAGGGGAAGGGAG